AAAACAATTTCTTGTGTTGTATAAATAATATTTATTATGTACCTGTCGAGAAACTTTTACTTGCTTTTATTGAATTAAATGTGTGATATATGCGTGAGATGTGATGTTTGCGTAAGATTGAAGCTTTCTTCTGCTGATTGAACATGTTTTTAAAAATTATTATCGATATTGTACAGAGTTTTTTCAATTTTCAAAACATTTTGCAAATTCCTTTTTTTAAATTTTTTAGTGACGGAAATTCCGTCGCTAAATATAATTTTAGCAACAGGATTTCCGTCACTAAATAACTATTTAGCGACGGAAAACGTGCACGAAATCATATCTGGTTTTTTAAAAAATTAATAGCGACGGATTTTCCGTCGCCAATAAAGTTTTAGCGACGGAAAATCCGTCGCTAAAACTTTATTAGCGACGGATTTGTCCGTCGCTATTGTTTTTTAATTTTTTATTTTTTAAAATTAGCGACCATTTGGCCGTCGCTAATAAGCCGTCGCTAAAATTTAGTGACGGAATTTCCATCGCTAAAAGTGTTTTTAGGCACCCCTGTTATAACGTCGAAGTTTTAGCGACGAAAATTTATTTTTTCCGTCGCTAAAACTTTTAGCGATGGAAAATTGACTTATAGCGACGGATTTGTCCGTCGCTAAAGGTTGAAAATCCAGTAGTGATCAAGATCAATCCTAAGAAGATAACTACCATAGAGTAGCTGCCTGAACCTTGCACGTTGAAGGACGTCCAAAAGCTAAATAGAAAGATAGCAGCGTTGAGTCTCTTCCTTTCAAAATCTGCTGAGAGGAGCCTCCCATTCTTTAAAGCTTTGAGAGGGAATAAGGAGATGAAGGAAGGCAGTGGTTGGACCGCAGAATGCAGTGAGTCCTTCAATGACCTCAAGTGATATTTGAGCACCAAGCCTTAGGAAAGGAGAAAACTTGTATCTTTACTTGGCCATGTCTTATGAAGTGACTAGCTCTGTCCTAATCCAAGAGGAAGACAATGCACAGAGGCCGATATACTATGTCAGCCAGATCCTGAAGGCTGCCGAACTTAACTATCCTCTTATTAAGAAGTCCTCCTTCACTCTCATAATTATAGGTAGCAGGCTTCAACCCTATTTTCAAGCACTATAGTGATGTGGACAAATTTTCCCTTGAAGAAAGCACTTGACAGTCCTACCACTTTGGGGGCAATGATTAACTGGTCGATCGAGCTTAGTGAATATGATATATTATTTAAGCCCAGAATGACCATAAAGGCCCAAGACTTGGCCACATCTACAGTGGATGATGAACCGTCTCTGCTCATACCAGTCCCCCTACCTAATTCTTCAGCTTCCAAGATAACTAAGGCACCTCCTTATTGGAAGTGCAGTACTCCTAAGCATGATTTGCCGAGTTCTCCTTGTGGTGGTTATTAAAGGTAGATGGATCTTGAGGAGAAGGAGGCTGTGGAGCTAGAGTAGTCGTACGTGGCCCAAATGGGTCCACACATGAGCACTCCATCGCTTTTGAATTCTCAGCTTCAAACAATGAAGCTGAGTACAAAGCTTAGTGGGAATTTGAGTTTCCTTAGCAGTTAAGGCCGAGCTCGTCTGCATCCTGGCCGACTCTTAACTTGTCATCTGCCAAGTAAGAGGAGACTATCCAACCAAAGACTCAAAGATGATTTTGTACCTGAAGGCAGTGAAAAAGCTCTTAAGCGATTTCAAATATTTTAGGATCGCCTAAGTCCCTCATGCCCTCAATGCTCAGGCAGATGCCTTATCCAAGCTCAGGTCATCCAGCTTAGATAATAGTCAAGGACTTGTGTACACAGATATTTTCAAGAACCCTAGCATCATGGAAACTTTAACAGACTCAGTCATGCAGACCAAGACCTCTACGGAACCCTGCTGGATGGATCCACGCATCCAGTACCTAATAGGGGGACCTCACCAGAGAAAACTACTGAAGCAAGGAGTCCACAAAGGAATGCTCAAAGATATCTTATGATCGATAACTAGCTTTATCGAATGTCATATGTCATTAGTAGTGTGGGGCCTATCTCCGTTGCCTCTGGCTGACAAAAGCTAGTTGTCCTGTAAGAGATTCATGATGGAACTTATGGGAATCACGCAGGGGCCAAAACTCATGCTCAAAAGGTGATTCGCAAAGGCTATTATTGGCCCACCATCCTGGCCAAGTCTAAAAGACTCATCTCCAAGTGCAAAACCTACCAATTCTTCTCAAATTTCCGCGAGCTTCCACACCTGAACTCACCCCTATCATGAGCCCAATCCTCTTTGCTCAATGGGGAATGGACTTGTTGGGGCCTCTCACAATAGCTTCAGAGCAACACAAGTTCCTAATTGTTGCCATTAATTATTTCATAAAATGGATAGAAGCTAAACTATTGGCCAAAATTGGTGAGAACAACACTACCAATTTTGTATGGAAATCAATCGTCTACAGATTTAGAGTTCCCATCTCATTTGTCACTGATAATGGCACCCAATTCGACAGCGGAGACTTCCAAAGTTTCTACGAAGAGTGAAAGATATAGATCACATTCACTTCAGTAGCACACACAAAATGCAATGGGCTTGCAGAAGTGGCCAACAAATGTATAATTCAAGCATTGAAGAAAAAAGTAGACAAGGCAGTTGGAAACTGGGTTGAAGAATTACTGAGAATTCTGTGGTCCTACCATACTACTCACAAAAATTCCATAGGAGACTCCCTTCAAGCTAGCATATAGAGCCGAGGTGGTCATCCTAGTAGAAGTCGGCATGCCAACCATCTGACTGCAGCACTTTGATGAAGATTTAAATTTGATTAGGCTTCGAGTTGGACTCGACCTTATTAATAAAGTTCAAGAAAAATCTCTCCAATCATAAGTTATCAATCAGTAGCGCATTACCCGGCACTACAATAGCAATGTCCAGCCTTAAAGATTCAACGTTGGCCATCTTATCCTTTGAAGAGCAATTTTTGACAGAGACACCAAGCATGTCAAATTGGCTGCCAACTAGGAACGACAATATATGGTCATTAAACAAGTACATCTCAACACTTATCAACTATGAAGCTCTGATGGAAGAATCTTGCAACATCCTTAGAATATAAAGCATCTCAAGAAATGCTTTCGATAATTTTGACTACAAGACTCTCATGTGATATAAAATTTTTAATAATTTTATGCCTTTGTAGGACCTATAAGACCTCACAGACGCTCGAAGCACGATTCGAAAGACCTTGGTACCCATTCGAGATAAAACCAAGGCATGTTATCAACACAGTTGACTTCGACTCGAAAGACCTTGATATCCATTTGGTATAAACCAAGGCATGCTATCGACATGGTCAACTTCGACTTGAAAGACTCATACGTGATAAAACCAAGGCATGTCATTGACATGCCATTGACACGATCGGCTTCGACTTGAAAGACCTTAGTACCCATTTGGGATAAAACCAAGGCTCTCCATCGACACAATCAACTTCAACTCGAAAAACTTTGTTACCTGTTCGGGATAAAACCAAGGCACACCATCGACTCAATCGACTTCAACCTATAAGACCATGGTATTCTCTCAGAATAAAATTATGACAGGAAGCTGATTCATCTCAGTTACAAATCTCAAAATGAAGTAATCTGCATATAAACATAAAAACATAGATAAGAAAGGTACACAGATCAAGTAGACAAAAAATATATCTTTTGTTCATATATCAAAATATTTACAACAATATTTACATCAGAAAGATACAGAAAAAAGAATAAGAGAAGAGATACACAAAGCTCACATGGAGCTCGACTCAGAGAAGGAGTGCAGCTTGAAGTAGGCATAGCACTGGGCCTAGGAGTTGAAGCTGAATGTGGGGGAGCAACGATACTAGGAGTCGGCTGAGGAGTTGACTGAGGCTCAGACCCAACCTCTTCATCCTTATCTCCAGGCATGATAGCCCAACTGTCTCCAACAAATCCTTAACCTGACAACTCACCCTCCTCATCTTTATTGTTGACATCCAGGATCAGTCCTCCTCCTCTCTTCTCTATTTCCTAAAGAGTATTGAGACAATTAGCAACTCTGGGAGGATAGTAAAACCAGTTGGGACTGAGCTTGAAGCTGGCGCGGTGCTACGTCTTGAAATAGTCGAAGCCGACCTTGTAAGCTAAGGCCACCTCGATCTTTCCAAGAGTGTTATTGTGGTATTTCTCCACAACCTCCATTCAGTAAGCCTTGGACTCGAGATGGTGGAGGCAAACCTACAGTGCCTGTACTTTAGCGAGAGACAACTCTCATTGTCTCTCAGCCTCTAGTGCTACTTGGGTTGCTTCCTTCTGTAGAGTCTCGTGAACATTTACCTCCTCCTTCAGCTAGTCCTGAAGGCCCTTAATATGTTAGCGAGCTAGCCGAGCCCGCACGAAAGCGACACTGCTTTCTCTCCTCTCGATTGCGATCTCATCCTCCAAGTATTTTACCCGATCATCCTGCTCATGGAGCTCATGCTTGAGTTGATCGATGTCCTCTTTGAATTTGTCAATCGTGGATGACTTCTTATTGTTTTGCCCCTTCAGTCCGTTGATCATCTTCTCCCGCATCTTAATCTTCTGACACCATTTTTCTTTGCTCTACCTCCAAGAAATCAACTTTGCCTCCTTGGCAGCAGTACTTTTCTCATCCTCTTCCTAAGCCGCCTTCTCAGCCTCCAACCCTTCCTGAAGCTTAGAGTAGAGGCCTTGTGTGTACTCAAACTAAGAAAATAACTCTTTCTCAACCAGCGCACCTCGCAGCAAATAGCATTTGAGAGCCTGGTGAAGGTCGACGTTTGGCATGCTCGAGAGGATCTCATCATCCTGAGGGAGATAGAACTACTCCAGAGCCCGAGACTAAGCAATCATAGACTCTAAGACTGACCCTCTCCCATTGAGATGCCATCAAGGAGTAAATCTAAACACCTCAGATGGTTATCTATCATATCCATACCCCTCCCTATATGACCCCATCATCATCATCATCCTCAGCTCCCCCCACAAGTATGGCTCGAGCTCATCAATACAGTAGGGTAAGGGCTACCCAATGCGATGCTCATGAATAGGAGGTGCCTCACTGCTGTTGGCTCTTTGACAGCTAGCTCCTTGCCCTGCTCGATCCGAGCCTGGGCCTCAACAGGCTCGTGCACCACCGCTCCACCCCGCTTAGTACAAGAAGGGGATTCCTCATCGACGACAACGATGATGTCGCCTTGCTTTATGTGAGTGGCCTTAGGGAGACGAGTGGTGAGGTCTTCACCTTCCTCAGCTTCTTGAGCAAGGACAGGTGTGGACACCTCTGCTCCTCTCCCCTCCCTAGCCTAAGTCGGCTTAGCATATCCGGAGAGACCTTGGCCACTTACTTTCCTTAGCCGTCTCCTCTTCTTCTCAGACCTCTCGACCTGAGCACTAGAAGCACTTGGCCCATCCAGCTGAGCTGCAATCTCAATAGCATTCCCTACCACCTCCTCGACCTTTGCTATAGCCAACTCAGACCTTAGACATTTCTAGGGCCTGACTGAAGACCCTGACTAAGCCTTGTTCGACTTCTTCAATGGCAAGGACAAGACCGCTACTCGGATATTGTCCTCTTCAGTTGGTGGGACTCTAGAAGTGCCGGCCACCTATAGCATAGCAGGATCCAACAAGTTCTCGATCCTTCAAGACCCAGAATAGACCCGAATGTTCTTGAGCCCTGCTTCTCCTTGGCCGTGAGGAAACCCGACCTCAGAACATCTTTCTTAATCCAGGCCAAGCTAATCAAAAAAAGATATGATAGGCTCCAAAGACCCAAATGAATTTCTCCTTTCAGTCTTTATTCGACTTAGGAGCATTCAAGATGACTTTGAAGCCACCCATGTTCCAAAAATAGTAGTGACTCTACCTCTTCCCCTCCTTAACACTGAGAAGGTGGCTAAGCATGTGGAGGGTCAGCTCGACTCCAACCCGATGGCAAATCACCACGAGATCCAGCCGCGTGGCAATGAAGTTTAGCTTGATTCAAGAGGGCGAGACTCCTAAATCTTCAAAGACACGACAGGAGGGTGAGATGAGGATCTATCTTCAAGCGAAACTTCCTCAGAAGATAGATGCTCATCTCTTTGTGCGCCACAGCGGAAGCATAAGTAGCCATTAGTGGATAAAGGTTGCCATAAGTAAATCGGAGATTGCTTGAGAGACAGAGAACATGGACAGAGTTCTAGGGTTTAGAAACTTTTTAAACGAAACCTTCAGCAGAACTAGTATACATAGGCTCAAAGACGGGCATATGTCGAGATCAGAACGGTTGACCCAATTATTGGCGGATGGCTGAGACTGACCTCATAAGTTGAAATGACCGCTTAGGAACCAAAGCGTTGTCCTTCGGTTGACACGCCATCTGCACTTTGGAAACGAAACGATGATGGAACATGATCTCTAGTGACGTCAGAGCATCACATGAACAACGACCCATCACTTACCTCGTATATGTGCCTTAGATATCTCAATAGTCGACTGTTCAATTTCACTCAGACTCGGCCTACCGAGTTCGAGTAAAGGGGCCAGTGTTATATTCTACGAATACCTTAAGTTCTTATCCCCCTCTGAAGTTGACACATGTCTCATGCTAACTAATTATCAGATCACCCCAGTTAGGACGACTCGAGTGACTTCAGCACTCAACCCTTTCTAATAAGGGTCGAGTCGAAAGGCACCCTCACTTGACTTACCTGTTGAGTCGACCCCACTCCTCTTCATTCCACAAGGTCGGGTCGACAACCTTTGAGGCCAACTAAAAAGGTGGTACTTATTGGCCCACTCGCAAGATCGAGATGAGAGACATCACTTGTCAACCCCCTATATATATATATCTCTCTCTCTCTCTCTCTCTATATATATATATATATATATATATATATATATATATATATATATATATGTGTGTGTGTGTGTGTGTGTGTGTGTGTGTAAAGGGAAGTCGCAGTTTGTTGCCTAGGGTAAGCTAAACTCTAGCTAAAAAACTCTTAACATTTAACTCTCCTCCTTGCCCACTTAAGCTCTCTACTGACTTGATCGTTAGAGGAACCATCGGAGATCCTAACTCCGACCTCTTACATGTTGTTCATTTGCAGGACTGGACTCTCAGCCCAAGAACTAACCATTTGAAGAAGGTTGAGAATCCTAACACCCCACATAATCTCCTTATAATTCCTTATTAGATAACCGACATCAACATCATCATTTGGTTTTAAATGTATTGTAGATAGACCCTATCGCATATCCTAAAAGGACATCAATTTCATTTTGATGTAGCATCTCTACCAAATTATAACATCTTAGACTGTATTTCGCAATTAAACCTAGTCTTTTTGAACATTTTTAGCTCTAGCACCCCTAAAATTTTCTTTAATTCTCACAAAAACTAGTGTACAAGAGTATCTCATTAACTAAAGGGAATATCTAGCGTAAAAGGTGCCTTCTTATTCTTCAGCCCTTGCCTAGTCTAGTTATTCTTTAAGCTTCTGCCATATGTAGACCGCGAGCTAAAAAGATGAGCATAGTCCCATCAATAGGCATAGCTTTTAGATCGTTCCATCGAGAGTGACACGTTCCACCGAGAGTGACACAATCGAACCTTATCGAAGCAAGTGCAGTGCTATAGGAAGAAGAAATGATAGAGGCACACTCTAAGGCACACCACCAACCACACTTCCTCTCTCTCTACAGTGAATGGGGCCCCACATGTGATTTTTTTAAAAATCACATGTGGGGCCCCCTACACTGTAGAGAGAGAGGGAGTGTGGTTGATGGTATGCCTTAGAGTGTGCCTGTAGTGCCTCTCTATAGGAAGTAAGAACTGGGAGGACAAAACTACTAGGACCCACTCTCTAATAGGGTACACACTCAGAGATATCTATCTGGCTAGCAAATCGCGCCTACCCGACAACTCATGGTTCAAGAAAAAATAACCCTTGACTCTGACCTTTCTGTTTTGTACCTATTTTATACTAGTGTGTACCCCGTGCAAAGCACAATCCTTGTATTTCTAAGCACTGTATTTTACTTGTTTCTATCTAAGTTTTAATACATTTGATATTATTATTATACGCTTAAAATTAGAAATCATATTTACTCCTCTATATTTAAAGAAGGATCTAAGTTTTAATACATTTGATTTTGCTTTATAGTGTATGATATAGTGAAATTGTAGCATGAATAGTAACTTCAAGTAGAGTGTCAGATTTAATTAACTGTTTATGATACAATAAATACTGTAGCATGAACGATACTCTGAGTATAGAGGAGCATATTTGATTTATTGTTCATGCTACAGTAATTTACTGTAGTATGAATAAGTAATGATTCTTTAGATCCTCTAAGCGTAGAGGAGTAGATTCTCCTTATTTGGATCACCAAGTGTACAACAAATAAGGTCCGTTCGATAATTTCTCTTAATTAGGACAATAAACGCCCTGTATACTACATACACGGCTAGAGTCTAACGGTTAGTAAAGTTTTTTCTAAGGTAATTAAACATGTTTACAAAAGTAGGAAGCAAATTTCGGTTGCAGTTTAGGGGACCGCTTTGTTGATAGAACATAAAGATGCAGCGACAAATGCTGTGGTCAAATTTCTATTTTCAATATTTTGGTTAACAACTTAAGGTAATTGACAATCATAAGTTAATTTCTATTTTATAGCAGTGACTACAACATTTGCTACAAACAATTTATTTGATACATTTCCTACAACAGAATATGCCAAATCGAACACTTTTTCCAACTAAAATAAGCACTAGATTTGGATTAGAAATAGGGGAAATTGCTTCTAGCCCCCAATTTCCTAACAACTATTCTACCCCTTCCCAAGACTTTTTCAACTCTCCCAAAACCCCCAAAAGTAAACCCATTATTCTCTGAGCCCCCAAAACACAAAACCCAAGAGTTTTAAACATGTGAAAACCATAATACCCTTTCTCTCTTTCTCTTTTTTATTTGTGATGATTTCCTACCCCATCCCTGCGTGAATCCGCCGCTGCCGCCTCCGATGTCGATGTCGGTGTCGCTGGATCTTAACCTGCAGCGTTGCCAGATCAGCTGACTCATGAGCCCTATGCCGTCTTTTATCATCGCCACCGGCGATGGCGGTGGCTCCGCCGTCGAAGAATCTTGTTCTTGGAGGGTGCTTTCAGCGGGAGATAATCGGTGGGGCCCGGAGGCAGGAGGCCAAGAGTGTCGGTGGGAGGGGACTGTCGTTCGATCTCAATGAGCTACCACCGACGTCGTCGATGCTTTTTTAATTTGGTTTTCTTCCCCCCCCCTCTCTTAGAACTTAGTGCGACTATATTTAGTTAATTTTGTTGTATTTTAGTTTGGCTTTTTTGGTTTCTAGTTTAGGAATGAAGGGTGAAGTGGAGTTCAGTTTTTGGAGTAAAAACTTTGATGCTGGCGTAGCTATTTTGGTGATGAATTAAAGGCTCGGTTTTGAAGGTGTTACGGGTTGGTTGTTAAGGTTAGGGGTCGGTTGTTAAGGTTAAGGGTTGGTTGTTAAGGTTACAGGTCGGTTGTTAAGGTTAGGGTCGGTTGTTAAGGTTACGCATTGTGAATGTTATGCATTGGTTGTTAATGTTACAGGTTAGTTATTAAGGTTATGGATAGGTTGTTAATGTTACAGGTCAGTTGTTAAGATTAAGGGTTGGATGTTAAGGTTACAGATCGGTTGTTAATGTTACGGGTCGGTTGTGAACCTCGGCAACCTTCGTAACCTTAACAATCGACCCATAACTTTAAGAGCCGACCCGTAACCTTAACAATCAACCCGTAACCTTAACAACTAACCCGTAACCTTAACAACCAACGCGTAACCTTCACAACGCGTAACCTTAACAAGCGACCCTAACCTTAACAACCGACCCATAACCTTAACAACCAACTCGTAACCTTAATAACCAACCCTTAAACTTAACAACCAACCCCTAACCTTAACAACCAACCCATAACACCTTCACAACCGACGCGTATCCTTCACAACAAACTCGTAACCTTCAAAATCAACATGTAACCTCCCTTCACCACTAATTCATAACCTTAACAACAAATTTATTGCTGTGAAATAATAATATTATATAAATTTACATACTATATTTTAATCTCAAGTTACTGAGGTTCACAACTAACCCGTAACATTAACAACCAACCTGTAACCTTAACAACTGACCCATAACCTTAACAACCAACCCATAACCTTAACAACCAACCCGTAACCTTAACAACCAATCCTTAACCTTAACAACTGATCCGTAACCTTAATAACTAAACCGTAACACCTTCACAACCAACGCGTAATCTTCATAACCAATACATATCCTTCACAACAAACCCTAACACCTTCACAACCGACGCGTATCCTTCACAACCAACCCGTAACCTTCAAAACCAACATGTAACCTCCCTTCACCACCAACTCATAAGCTTAACAACAAATTTATTACTGTAAAATAGCAATAATATATAAATTTACATACTCTATTTTAATCTCAAGTCATCGATTTCCTTACAAGTATTCCGCCGGCAATAATATATAAATTTACATACTCTATTTTAATCTCAAGTCATCGATTTCCTTACAAGTATTCCGCCGATGAATGAAGGCCGTTTTCTTCCCAACGGTTAAACTTTCCTGCCATTTTCTTACAAATATTCCGCTGAAAAATATTAGTTTTCCCATAACTTTTTCTTCGCCTCATGAACAAACGCCGAAAAAGTATTACCGCCGATGTTGACGCCATCGAAAAATTTTGAAGGGAATTAGAATCCTCCCTAAAAAAAACCCATTTTAAATCATCACAGTAACATCATGAAAGAGAGAGAGAGAGAGAGAGAGAGAGAGAGAGAGAGAGGACATTATAGTCTTCACATGTTTTAAATTCTTGGGTTTTGTGTTTTGGGGGCTTAGAGAATTATGTATTTGCTTTTGGGGGTTTTGAGAGCATTGGAAAAGTCTTGAGAGGGGGTGGAACACTTGCAATAAAAATTGGGGGCTAGAAGAAATTTCCCCTTAGAAATATATTCCTACAATAAAAGTACAATTATCAAAACAAATAGATTTTAGGTTAGTTTCTCTTAACAAACGCTCTACGAGTATGATGTTTTCGCCTTTTGGTCACATGATTGAGGACATGCAAAGGACACATTACTCATTGGATTTTTAGGATGTTCCAGCTATTCGTCGTATTGGAAACGGTGCTGCACATATCTTAGCGCAGAAGGCTATATATCTCAAAATCTTCCAAGTATGCTTTGAAGGCCCTCTAGTTAGTTTTTTTGTTGTTGCAAAAAGTCATATCAGAGGATACAAATGAGGAAGAAAGTTACCTTTAGTTGCATTGGTTGTTTGTTGCTTTGAATTCATTCGAGTAATGTTATCTGTAACCATTAATTAACAAACCAGTGCTCCACGATGTTTGCATGCAATATTTGATGCATTTATAATTACAACATACCAAAAAAACTCCCAAGTGAATGTACATAGTAAAAAACGGTCAAACAGTTACTCGCCGGGGGGGGGTCCTGCAAATTCAATCTGCAACGCGTCTATAACAGGAGATCCTGGTTTAGGATTTTGACTAGGGATGCAAAAAAAAAAATTCCTTATCCGTTAGTGTATATATATATATATATATATGAGGAATATGGGTATACTTGGGGCCAAGGATCCTTGGTAGTGATGTGGACACATCTTGTCCATACATCACACCTTGAAGTTGGTGAGGCTCCATCTTCAGGTGTGATTGTATGGACAAGATGTTCGTCCACATCACTACCAAGGATCCTTGGTACCAAGTATACTCATTTTTCTCTCTCTCTCTCTCTCTCTATATATATATATATATATATATATATATATATATATATATATATATATATAATATATATATATATATATATACTGGAGAACCTTGGTACCAAGTTTTTCCCGCCATTGAACTTGGTAAGTGAGGTGGCCAAATGAAGACGCCCTACATCATGCCTGAAGAGAGAGCCTCAATTACTATTCAACTACTTTAAAAAAGAGGCTCCATCTCCGAGGCATGATGTAGAGGCTAGATTTGCACCTCACTATCAATGTTCAATGAAAGAACTTGGTACCAAGGTTCTCCATATTTCTCATATATATATATATATATATATATATATATAATATATGAGTAGAACTTATTTCAACTTACGTGGACACTAAAGTCTTTGTCCACCAAAGTTTCTATCCACTTATTTATATATATAAAAGTCCCTTCATATCATGCAATGATATATATATATATTATATTATATATATGATAATTATATATATATATATATATATATATATATATATAATATGGTTACTAAATCTGTAAATGGATACGAATATTGAGTTACTAAGATCTATATTCTATAGAATACAATTACAAATACAGGTATTGTCATGAAATATCTGGATCCAAAATATCTAAAAATATATGTTGATCATTCAGTTGCAATTGTTCTAATCCTTTTAGGGTAATGAATTTGAGGTTAATTTTAATGATCAAGAGATCTAATCTTAGCTTTTCAAATATAAAGCTCTGTTGTATCATATAAAGTATATTTTTTTCGATCTTATATGGTTTTCTCATATCTATTTTGTATCCGCATGTATATCCATTTATTTATTCGCATATATATCCATGTTCATTTACGATTTTAGTGGATAAGAATATAAATTTTTCTTACGCATATCCATCAGTATTCTTATCCGTGATCGGTAAACAAATACAAATATGATAAAAAAATCATATCCGTGCCATATTTGAGCCTTCTACACCCCTAATTTAGACAAATATGTTCATGTAAGTCAGTAAATCTTATCAAAGTATAAGCTTTGTTCCCTGTGAAAAATCATAGTATATTAGATGATATCCAAAGTAGATTCCAAACTGAACCTTATCATATCTTTGCAAGATATTCTGCGCACTTTCGTGAACAAAAACTGATATATTCTATTCTATTCTTTAGGGTAAGCCTCTAATTATATTCTTTCATTCACTATTTTTTGTCAGGAAACAGAAAACGAGGCATTATTGATATGAAGAAGAGAATATAGAATAAGAACACCTGCCTTAGTTGTCTCTTTTACTCTCTGATAAGATCAGACGCTTTATTCATCTCCCTTAGATTCCACAAGACAGGGATTCGATATGGACATTAGTGACTAGCTGGGATCAGATATGGATATTAGCCATTTAATTGTTTATTGCTAAAATTTGGATATTTATTAAAAGTTCAAGGCCCGTCATCCATCATAAAAATAAAAAGTTTATACTATATATTAGGACGATCTGTTTTATTCCCGAAAGGATACATTTTACCTAAGCCTTAAAAACTTAGCTCATTTTGACATGACCCTGAAACTTTTGAAAATACAAAAAACATTAAATATCTTTAGTTGAAAAAAAAACCCCCAAAATCTAACACCATTATGTTTTGAGTTGAAGAAGGAACTTAGCAAAATAAATGCCTCGATAAAGTCGTCTACGCATGTTGTGTAAGAAGAAGGAACTGCGGAGGGAGTTTAATGAAAATCTGGAGAGTGAGGATATTTATGGCGGTGTGTGATTTCTAAGTGAGGGAGATCGAAAAACTCGAAGTTCTTCCATCACAAGGTGGTGTGTGATTTCTAAGTTCTAAAAATAGTACAAGTATTAAGTTGTCTAGTTGTAGTCCTTACCGGTTGATCCACAGGGACGATGGTGTTTTAAAATTCTTTTAATCAATATTGGGAAAGACTTGAGAGATTTGGTTATCGGTTGATTTTCAAAACATTTTATGAGCTGAGTAGGTATTTATGATAGAATTCACTAGGTTGATTTTTTACTTAGATATATTAGTTCTTCTCTTTTATTATGTTGATGCTAAGGGTGTTTTTTCTAGTACATCATTTATAAAACTGTTAAAATAGATTATGAACAACTACTTTCTAAAAAAAATGTACGACCAGCAATTATTTTGTTGTTAATTTGTATCTCGGTAAAAAAATATTTTTTTAGCCAGTGTGCTACTGTTTCTATTACAAATAGACCTTCCCATTTGAGTTAGAATTTACTTTTTTTCTTGGAGTTGAGGATCATGGGTCGCCGAACTGCGAGGACCAACTCTCCCTCCTTGAATGATCTGTGTTTGACTTTCTTGTCGAAAGCCTTGGAGATTCGGGCTCGATAGAACTCAATGTGTTGTTGAGCCTCAAGCCGCTTTTCATCTAACGCCTCCAATTCTGCGAGACGCTGTTGATGACTTTCTTCAGTCGTCATCCCCGTTGCAAGTGCGATGCATAGGGACGGAATCTGAATTTCGAGTGGCAGTACGACCTCACAACCGTATACCAATGAGTAAGGTGTGGCACCAATCGGCGTGCGAACTGTGGTCCGATACGCCCATAAGCTTTCACCTAGCTTCTCATCCCAGTCGCGCTTGCCATTGGAGGTCAGCTTGGACAGGATCTTGATGATCGTCTTGTTGAACGCCTCGGCTAATCCGTTTGCTGAGGGATTATAAGCCATGGATGCCAGGTTCTGTATTCTGAATTTGTCACAGAACCGAGTGAAGGCATGACTCACGAATTGTGATCCGTTGTCATGAATAATGCGCCTCAGGATGCCGTATTAGTAGATGACCCGATGCTTGATGAACTTGATCACATCGCTGGTTTTGACTTCTCTTAAGGGGACAACTTCGGCCCACTTGGAGAAGCGTGCGAACTGTGGTCCGATACGCCCATAAGCTTTCACCTAGCTTCTCATCCCAGTCGCGCTTGCCATTGGAGGTCAGCTTGGACAGGATCTTGATGATCGTCTTGTTGAACGCCTCGGCTAATCCGTTTGCTGAGGGATTATAAGCCATGGATGCCAGGTTCTGTATTCTGAATTTGTCACAGAACCGAGTGAAGGCATGACTCACGAATTGTGATCCGTTGTCATGAATAATGCGCCTCAGGATGCCGTATTAGTAGATGACCCGATGCTTGATGAACTTGATCACATCGCTGGTTTTGACTTCTCTTAAGGGGACAACTTCGGCCCACTTGGAGAAGTAGTCGGTTATCGCAAGGATAAATCGATGGTTTTTATCCGATGGAGGAGATATCGGTCTGACGATATCCATCCCCCATATCTCAAACGGCCACAAAGTTGTCGTCGGATGCAAGTCTTCGGGTGGTTTGTGCATGTAATTAGTGTGGATTTGACACGCGTGGCAACCCTTGGCGTAAGTGACAGCGTCATTGACCATTTTGGGCCAATAGTAGCTAATTCTTTGCAAGCGGTCCTAGAGCTTGGGTCCGGGTTTGTGAGCACCACAAGTGACATCATGGGCTTCCCGCAGGGCTTCCTGTGCTTCTATCATTGAGAGACATCGAAGCAGCATGTCGTTGTACGATCTACGATACAATGCCTTTGTGGTTGCATCGTAGTAGAATTTCGGTGTGCGTTTGTGAATAGAATCCCGCTCCTTGATGTCTTTAAGTAGTATACCGTACAAGACGTAGTCAATGATCAGGAAACACCAATCTCTTAGCTCGAGTTGATCGGCTGCCCGGTAAGTTGTATTCGCCTTCAGGGCATACTTTGGTTGGTAGAGTTGTCGGCTTGCGACGGTGACTTGTTGGCTTGTCCCCAGCGATTGAGCTAAGTTAGCTGCTAATGACGCCAATGCATCTGCATGCATGTTCTTGGAACGTAGTACATGCTCAATGCGGAAGCTGCCGAATGATTTGGCTAATTTAATAGCTGCTTGGTGACATGGGATAAAGTCGTCATTTTTGACTTCATATTCCCCCGTCATTTGCTTGACAATGAGCTGACAGTCACCATAGGCTTCAAGGTGCTTCACCCCCAATTCCTTGGCAAAGTCGAGTCAATGAGCAGGGCATTGTTCTCAGCCACATTGTTGGTACATGGCTCAGTTAGTGAGAAAGCTCGGGGTAATACATGGTTTTGTGGAGAAACCAAGACCACCCCCACACCTGCGATGATAGACCCACTTGCACCCACACGAGATGCGCCATCGAAGTATAGTTGCCAGACTTCTTCCTGCGAGGTAGTATTGACCTCGTAGGTTTCATCCGACATGTCTTCAAACAAGTCAGCCTTTGAATCGAGTGGGTGGCTGGACATGAGATCGCAGATTGCCTGTCCTTTGATAGAATTCTGTAACATGAAGTGGATGTCATATTGAGACAGCAAGAGTGCCCATCTTGTGAGGCGCCCATTCAAGGACCCGAATTATGTCATGAAGACTCGGATGGAGTTCATCTGAGAGATGACATGAATAGTTTGACCGACCAAGTAGTATTGCATTTTCTGAATTGTGACCACTAGGGCCAGACATTCCTTTTCGACCATGCGGTATCGCTGTTCAGCTCCTTACACGGTCCTACTCAGGTAGTAGATTCCTTGCTCATGGCCGGCATCATCGTTCTGTGTTAAGAGGGTGCCGAGAGAATGCTCTATTTCCCGCATATAGATCAGGAAGGGTTTGCCTGAGATCGGGGCCGCCAGGACTGGTGGATTCGAGAGATAATTTTTGATCTCCTTGAAAGCTTGTTGTCAAAGTTCATCCCATACGAAGTAGGCGTCTTTCTTCATAAGCTTAGAGAAGGGTTGGCACTTGCCTGAAAGATTTACGATGAATCTTCGGATGTAGGCCAAACATCCTTGTAGTCCCCTTAATTCCCTGAGATTTCTGGATGGTTGGAGTTCTTGGATAGCTCGCACTTTGTCGAGATCAATGTGAATCCCCTTTGTCATGATGACAAATCTGAGGAACTTGCCACTCGTCATACCTAAGAATGACTTCGTACGGTTCATCTTTAGTTGATGGGAGTGCATAAGGTCGAACATGACTCTCAGGTCTTGAAGGTGATCATCTTTGTTATGACTCTTCACGACCAGGTCATCCACGTAACATTCAACTATCTTTCGTAGATGATCTCGGAAGATGGTGCTCATGGCGCGTTGATAGGTTACACTAGCGTTCTTGAGCCTGAAGGGCATGATTGTATAATAGTACACCCCCATCGAAGTTCTGAACGAAGTGTGTTTTTATCCTCAGGGTGCATCTTGATCTGATTATACCCTGAGAATCCGTCCATGAAGGACATCCTCTCGAAGCCACAGGTGTTGTTGATGATGACATCCGTAATGGGCAAAGGGAATTTATCCTTGGGACATGCAGCGTTGAGGTCTCTGAAGTCGATGCAAATACGAATTTTTCCGTTCTTCTTCAGGACCGGAACAATGTTGGCCACCAATCAGGGTGTTGCTCTTCTCTAATGAAGCCTGATTCGATCAGCTTTTTTTACCTTGGATTCGATTGTCTCCATGATTTATGGACGAAACCGTCTCTGCTGATGTTTGATGGGTTTAACGTCTGAGCTGATGTTGAGGCGATGCATGATGATCTGAGGATCATGGCTGAGCATGTCCTCATAATTCCATGTGAAGACATCGATATATTCTCATATGAGGGATATGAGGTCTTCCTTCTCCTGGAGAGGTAATCTATCGCTGATAAATATGAGTTTTGGATTTGCCTCGTCTCTCATATTTATTTGGAGCACTTTGTCCTCTGTGGACGGTTCACGCTGTTTGAAGCAACCAATCCACTGGGTACTGATGTGGCGATCCCATGCTTTGTCATAAAGCAGAATCTGTTAATCCTCTTAGATTTTAGTGGTATCGACCGTAGCCATGTTGACCGTGAAGTCTTTGAAAAGGGTCCCGATGCTGACATCTGAATCCCAAGTCGAGGGCTTCGACGATTGATCGTCTGAGCGAGCATCGTTGGATATTTCGCTAAAATTGTAGTACAACTCTGAGGAAGAGGAGGAGTACCCTAACCCTCTTCAAGTTTTACCATAGTAATTGTCAGGCTTCCCTTTGAATACGTAGGTAGGTCGGAGAGGCATCTTCTAGCCTTCGCCGTATTTTAAACCTTCTTGGCGAATGAAGTCATAACCCATCCTCTCCATCTTGTGTTTTACGACGGGGCTGTAACATGAGAATTAAGGAGCAGATTCATCTTCGTCGGACTCGTCCTACAGTATGCGTGTGGGTTGGTCTATCCTTTCGAAGATAATTTCTTGCTGAGAAATATTTTGGGTAGGTATGATAAAGACAACTTGCGAGGACTCAACCATCTGCTTGTTCATGACTAATGTCGAGTGCACGGGCAAGTGTAAAGAAGAATTGGAGTACAATCTCGAGATCAAGTCGTTGAACTCATCATTAACAGATTCTACACCAGACAACAAGTAAGAAAGATGAGGTTCCTCATTCAGGGTAAGTCCATTCACCTTATCAGTGTCGGTTATAGCAATGCCTTCGTAGCCAATTATAATGGGTTAAATGTCATTTAAGACAAGACCCTCATTGCACTCAGACTCACTATCGGCCTCATTGCCGCTACCCCCTTCCTTGACTGGTGGTTTGTTCCCCGGTTCAGAGTCCTGGTAGAGCAGGGAGTCGGTGAAGTAGTTTTCAACCCCTTTGAAGGTCTGTTTATCTACAACTACCGTCTTCACCTGGTCGTAGTCATCCACATATTTCAAGTATTGGTCGTAGTCATTCACATATTTCTACGTCGATGACATAGCAGGTCACCTCAATTTTCATGTCACCTAATTGGCATTTGAGACGAATCTTTCTGAGCGGCCGGATTCTAGTGGTGTTGAAGCCAAAGATTGGGGTGGTTGTCGAAGACAACCGCTTTTGAGGCACCCCAAGTGCTTGATGAGCTTCAAGGGGACAATACTCAGTGCATACCCTAGATCCACCTGGATTCTATCTACTCTCGAAGAGTCGATGTATACTGTGAAGTACAAGGGTCAGTCGTGAGATGTGCTTTTGATGAATATATCCTCCAGAGTGAAAGTGATGCAGGGGATCTGTTGTTTGGATGCCTGGTAGCATTATGGACATCCCATTTTGCCTCCTCTTCGGGAGTGAGCAAGAAATGCATGGCGAAGGCTTCTGAATCAGTTAGCGCCTCTCACAGGGCTTCGTGTGTTGTCTTGGACAACCACAGTAGCTTGTATAGAGTGATCTTGGCTAGAATATTCTTTAGCTGGGCGAGTAGGTCGAACCAAAAGGGTTGACCAATTGAGCTTGGCTTGTCAGGACTTGGCTGAACTGTCGGTGGCAGTCCTACTGGTAGCCTTGTCAGACTCTCTGACGTCGAAGGGTAGTTCTTGACAAAGTCCTTCCCTACTCGGGTGATCAATACGTCTGCCTCCTCATTGAAATCAGTGAGGGTTGCTACTTCCACTCTGTTATCGTCCGAAATTGCCGAAATGACATTACAAAGCTTAGACTTTCCCTTGGACTTGTTGGAATTCTATTGCTCATCATCGAGGAGGTCAGGATGAACCCACATCACCTGTACTAACGTCAAGGTATGTGGTACCAAGCATTTCCTTATTGATTGTGAGGGTCGTCATTGACAATGTTTAGTTCTACCTTGGGGATGGGCACGACTCCTACCGGTGTATGAACCTCAGGGAGAC